AAAAAAAAAAAAAAACACCACATTTAAAGCACAATACAACATGCCATTCAAATAAAGAGGTTCTGCAGCAAAGCAAAGCCATAATATCCACAACGGAAGCCTCTCTTTTTCTTTCTTAAAATTCAAATAACTCTTAAGCCTGAAACTAGCTCAAAATACAACACATAAGAGCTCTTTTAACCTCATATTGTTAGCAGGAAAGACTCAACAAAACATGGCTCGAACAATATAACATATATGTTCTCTTTCCTTCTTAAAACTAAACAAAATTTCACCACACTTACAGACCTTTTAAAAGCTGAAACTTGAGTTCTAAAATGTCTTAAAATTAAGCACAACAATGGCATATAAACACGGAAAGGCTCAACCAAGTATTCGCATAAATGGCCATAAAATCATAATAAACACAACCGAAACAACCATAGTAAAAATATACCACATTCGAGCACCTCTTTTCTCAAATACTCATCACTCAAGTCTGCATCCTAGTTTTCGAAAAATGAATTAAACACATAGAAATTCACATATTCTCGGCCAACAAAACAACTCATTAAGCATGCCTTTAAAAAACACTCCAGGCTGGGAGTTCTAGTCCACAAACTTAGCACCATAGCACCACATTTCAACATGATTATGGCATATAACAATCAGCCCCAAAGTGTTTTAATACAACCGGGAAAATAGGCACAAATAAAATCAAAATAAGCATGCACTCTCATACGCCATACTTCAAGCCTGTAAACATGCTTTTAAACTCTTAATTAAAAATGAAAATAGGCAGAAAAATTCACACAATCTCAACCAAAAACGAGGGTATAGGCTCAGCCAAAAATGATACCTCCCTCGGCTAAAGAAAAGAGCGCGGCTCGGTCTCGGAGAAAATTGCTTGTTCTCAGCCTCGGGTGGTCACGAAACTCGTCTCGCTTCAGCCTTAGACTCCGTTTCTCGTCCTTGCCGTTGGTGGCGCTGCTCGACCGAGAACGACTGGCTGGAGGTCAGAGCTCGAAGAGATCGAGTCTCAAGGTCGCCGTTAATTCACTGTTGGGCCGCCGGTAATTGGAGCCCAGGTCTTCTGCGCCGTGAACTCTAATCCAGCCGTCGGGTACAGGTGATCGTCGCCGGAAGAATTGGCTCAGCCGCACGACGGCCGCTTCAGTCGCGCACGAAGGTCGGGTCGTAGTTCGTCTTCTGGTCGGAACCTACTTCATCACGGTTCTCAGTCGCGGTTCGCCGGCCTCGCGAAGGTCGAATCCCCGTCGGAGGTCGATGTGGGGGTTGGTGGCCTGTTTGCGGCGGACGGTTGGAACTCGATATAAGGGAGGATGAATGCGTGGCTTGAGAGGGATGAGATTTCTGTACGAAAATTTCGAGCGAGCAGAGGAAGAAGATGTGTTGCGGCGATTGATTTGGTGGCTTGGGCCTAGATTTGGGCCAAAATTATTGAAGGAGTTGAGCCATTTCTTATGGTGACTTGGGCCGGTTTTGTGCTGCTAAAATTTGGTGGGAAAATTATGTACATGTAGTCTTGTGTATATATATTTACATATATACAACCATTGCAAACATTAATCAATAAAAGATTCTATTGTGATTTTTATTGCATAATTACGAGATTTCAATTAAATCTAATCTAATGAGTTACTCTCTTTCCATATCTCGATCATGGCAACAAGCACCCGACATCAACGCTAAAAAAAACAGAAGCCTGGAAACAACCACTGGTCGGCCGATCATCGTCGAAGATGGATCTCTACTGTGTCAAAGTCTGTTCTTCCTCAATTCACGACTCCTTCACAACAGCCATGGAAGCCTTCTCCGAACACCCTGCCATTTAGCCTCCCCCCTTATTCCCCTATTTTGTCCGACCTAATTCGATCTGCGAATTGATCGTCCTCGCCATGGATCTCGATTTATTTCACGGGAAAAAATATAAATGGTCGTGTTGTTTTGTGAAATTGATAGGGAAGTATACGCTGAGAAAAAAAATCGAAGGTATATTCATGTTTATGTTTTTTTTTTTTTTTGGTGATCAATTACGA